CTAACCTGTTTCTTTAAAAACATTCATGTCTAACCTTTGTGAGGTACTGTTTTAGCTACTTTATAATATCATCTGAGTTAGTTCTCACTAGTACAAGGAGGTTGACATTATTACTATTCCTACTTAAGGAAATGAGGCTTAAAGAGCTTAATTTGCTCAACATCACATGGCTGAAAAGTGGTAAGGGTTGATTTGAACTCTGTCAACAAGATGCCAGAACCTGCATCTATAACCATTACACTATGCTTCCTGCCAGCAATCTGAAGTCAATTTCTGAAGTCAAAGATGGCTTCCTGGTTCATATAGCATAGTCTAAGATGGACTTTGAAGTCAGAAAGATTGAGCCGAAATCCTCACTCTCTGTGGCAACCTTTATGCCTCAGTTTTCTTGTTTCTAGAACTGGGACAGTTATATGTGCCTTATAAAGTTAAGGTGGGAATTAAATGAGAGGATGAATGCATACTCTTGGCCTTATTGTCAGGCCCCGCACATTACAGTAAGTGGCCAGTATGTGTTGACTGAACTTGAAAATGAATCCTGCTTCTCTCAAACCTTTACAAGGTTCCATAGAAATAGATTTGGTTTGAGAGGGTGCTTGATGCGTGGAATGGGGTGGCAAGATGTTGATCTTGTTCACATTTCTAAAAGAGGTTGCCTTATAGATATTGTGGACATTGGGAAGAAGATTCCTTTTAATTTGGAAGGCATGAACTATGTTTCCATGACACCCAAACAATCTGCTTAACCATGTTAAAACTTAATTGGACCCACTGCTACTGAGGCATAGGCTAAATATTTAGTTGACTGATATTACTAACTAAATATATCTGCTATTCTGGGTGTAGAGAGATTGCTAAACTCATTGCTAAGCTAATCAAGAGATCTTTTTTTGTAAAAAGAAACATAGGTACAAATCACACAATACCTCCTTGTCCTTGGGATTTGATCTAATTTTCCCATTATGGATTTTCCTATTCAGCTCCATGAGTTGTGGAGATGGGTATGTTGACTGTGTGAACAAGACACGGATCAATATCACAAAACAGAACAGGCTCTAAAGTTCTGATGCACGTACAGTATTACTTGGCAGGATTGTGGTTTTGTTTTTGGTTTATTAAGGTCTGAAAAAAATCTGTGGACAATTCAGTATGCCAAGTGTGTGAGTATGTAAAATATATATGTTTTTAATCCCAGGATCTTTAAGAACTGTCTAGGGGCAAGGCCTACTTTATAAGCCTACCTTTTTCTTCTTATTATTTTTTATAACCAGCCTTAAGTAGCAAATGGCATTTATGCATTAAAAGACCACACTGATGAACATGCCACAAATGTTAAATGACAACAATTAAGTTTAATGAGAATTAATGGATTGTCTTCCAGCATTGCCTCAACATGCTTCCTCACCCTTGATTACAAGGCTCTGCCTGGCTGGCCCTGCTTACTTCAGCTTCATCTTAGTGGAGTCACCTACTTTTGCCCCCTCTCCATTGCATATTTGTCCTTTCCTCATAAATCAGGAATGTCAAGACTACCTGTTTTTGGTATCTTTTGTGATAGGGTTTTTAAAAATCCTCTTATCTTTCTATCATTTCTGACCCCTACATATTTTATTGACTCCCCTTCTTGGCTTCCTCCGTCCCCCTCTTCTGCTCTCCAACATTCATTGTACAGTCTCTGTCATAGCAGCTGTCCTCTAGGAGTGCCCTCACTGCCTAGGACTGTCATTTGCTCACTGTTCCTTTATCCTGAAACTTGCTAAAACAAACAAACCCAAACCCAAACTCAATGCCACTGCATCAATTCCAACTCTTAGCGACCCTGTACAGAGCTTCTGAGCAGAAATTTTTACAGGAGCAGAAAGACTCATATTTCTTCTCAGGAGTGGCTGGTGGGTTTGAACTGCTGACCT